GACACATATGAAAGTAGAATGAACACACATGGCTACTGGCTCATTCCTCCTGATCTGCTCGAACAAAATTGTTGAAAACTCTTACAAGATAGGGTGTTGACATTTACAGCCCTACACATTACAATCTGATTGTACAATGTAATAAAAGGGCAAAAATAAACATTCAATTTTAATTAATTGTTCAGGTCCTTACATTAGTTGATGGTAGATGCCAAGGAGATTGTACAATCAAACCGTTTAGTGTATGATCAGCTCTAAGCTCATTCAATTCCATGGGAGAGCTGAGGGCTGTGTGGTGTCCGAACGTGGATCTGAGTGCTAAGAAAAGATGGCAGTAACAGTGGCTTAGAGGTAGGCACTTCTGCCTTGCAGAACCGGTTTGAATCCTAGCTTGGACGCCATCTGCATGGAGTTCGTACTTTTTCCTTGTGCTCCGGGGTACTCCAGTTTCTTTTCACACTCCAAAGAAATTAGGGGTTATTTTCTAAAACTGAGTGCAAAATCTGGTGCAATTCTGCATAGAAACCAATCAGCTTCCAGGTTTTATTGCGAAAGCTTAAAGCGGAGCTCCACCCAAAAGGGGAAGTTCCACTTTAAGGGCTGCTCCCCCGCTCCCCATTAGGATTGGCACCTTTGTGGGGTGGGGGGAGCGGGTACCCGAATTTGACAGGTACCGGCCCCCAATTGCAATTGGACCGCCTAGGCAATTGGAAATGGAAGATGTCCTCCCTCCTTCCCTCCCTGTAGTCTTTTGGGACACGTGACAGGTCCCAGAAGACTACAGGACCATTCATGAAGCGCAACGCTACTCACGCATGCCCAGTGGGTACCCGGCTGTGAAGCCGCAAGCAGTCATAGCCAGGTGCCCACACTGAAGATGTCAGCCTCCAGGAATCCAGGACGGCTGGTGAAATGGGCTGCAGGGGACACAGCACGGGACTGAGGGACAGGTAAGTGGCTGTTTTTTAAAAGCCAGCAGCTACAGTTTTTGTAGATGACTTTTATTTTTTGATAGGATGAAGCTGTTAGAAGCCGATTGGCTACCATGCACAGCTGTACTAGATTGTGAGTGCTCCAGTTTTAGTAGTTGGTTCATTGGCTCCTGTGTAAATTGGCCCTAGAACATGTAAGTATACATGTGAGGTAGGGAACTTAGCCTGTGAGCACCTTGAGGGCAGGAACAGATGTAAATGTACAGTATGTAAAATGCATAAATTGTTGGTGCTATACGAATTCCTATAATATATAGGATGCTGTAAAAACGGGAGCAAGTCTACCTTTGCTCCATACAAGTCACAATACTTCATCACCAATTCTGCCGATTTCTTCACTGTAATGCCGGTGGTGTCACACTGAAACACGCAGTTCTCAAGCTCAGTCTTCCCTCCAAGGACACCTAAAAATCACAAGACAGAGAAATGCCAATGAGACACAATCCAGACAGCCAATAATAATCAGGCAGCTGAGCTCACCAAGAACAACCACCAGTGATAGTCTTCCTGAACCAATTGTGATTTACCCTGTGCCAATGTGTAAATGTGACAGACATGAATTAAACCTAAACATCAGGTAGATCTAAAAAAATAAAAAAAAATAATATACACCAATTAAAGCATTTTAGACCCAAAACCAAAATTACCAATTATTGGATGTGGTGGCATTTTTTCTTTACCGGTTTTCACCTGGTGATCTGTCCAGTAACACACCTCCTGTATTAGAGTGCCACCACTCTGAATGAAGGAGCACAGGGGGCAGCAGCATTGTCAGTCTGGGGAGGGGTGGGAGTGGTAGATGTACTAGCCGATTTAGATACACTAACACATTGAAGCCAAACTCCAGATCACACTTTAGCAGTTACAGCAACAGGTTTTTTTTTCCTTTTTGGAAAAAAGTTTCTCATAAATAAATAAAAGCTGATCATTTTAAGCACCCTTTTCAGTGGTAAATAGACTGTTTGACACCTGTAACTGCTTGAAAAACAGACCTACTGGCAGGATCACCAGATGAACACAGAAGAAAGATATGCAATATAATAAATGTTTGCTTTTGGGTTTATACTGCTTTAAATGTATCTCTATTTATTATTACATCAGTAAATGCCTAACTTAGTATAAACCTCTTACAGCTTTGTACCAGCAGAGCTCAGACTCGGAGAGGGAGAAGGAACACAAGGACCAATCAGTTTGTGTTGCAGTGCTAACAAGAGACATGCCAATAGGAAGAGAGAACAAAGTGACACAGTGATGAGATTCAGTCCACTGCTTCTGTATTCACTGGGCATTCAAAGGCTGGGGGAAGGACAAGACCTGTAGGTAACTCAAGTGCACCAGAAAAAAATACGCTTTCCAGGGCTGCACAACAGGGCTGTGTAAGTTACAGCACTGGATGGACATACAAATCCTTTGGCAGGTTAAACCGTTCTCATGTTTGATTAAAATGTTTCTCTGGCTGAAGGTCAGTTGTAAATCCCATCTCCAGGCGAAAAAGGTTGCAGGATGGCTGTGCCCCCGCACTGCTCAGCCTAACTGCTTGTTTTTGTCCAAGGAAGAGGATAAAATACTTGCCTAATCCTCTGCTCCCCCAGCACCCCCCCACTCCAGCGGTCTTGAGTTGTGGACTGTTCATGATGTCTTCAAGCCCAAAGCATGCTCCATAGACCAGGAACATTCCACCGTGGACCATATGTTACCGCCGGCTTTCATGGAACGATGGATCGGGTGAGAACAAGACCCACAACAATGGAAATACTCAATATCCCCTCTGGGAGTTCTGTTACTGGCAGCAGATGACACACTTACTGACAATTCCTTCCACTGCACTGTGTTGGATGAGCTTCACATTGGAGATTTTCACACTGGGACCAGAGCATTCCACAAACTTGTCCCCTTTCCCTTTCTTCTCAATAATAATGTCATCTGCCATCCCATAACCTGGAAGTGAAAGAGTATGTAAAACCATCAGAACTACTTATTTGCATATGAGCATTAAAACACTATCAATTGGCCATAAACCAAATGTTGAAATACCTTTTATTGCCCCTTATCTTGTGGTCATGTGATGCAGCATATGTACCTTTTCATCTCACTGTCCAATAGTGAGTCGGAGAATTTTGCCACTACATGCCCTTTCATTCCAATTGCCCAATCAAGGATTGGGGCAATTGTGAGGGTTGAGACTGGTGTAAACGTCCTGACATTCTCGGTCAATGGTTCAGTAAAACTGACTAAAATATGTGTGATGGGAGTCACTTTGGGTGGGGGGCCCATGGAACCCAGCTCACTTTGGAGAGGTGGGGAGACCAGTCTCCGCTCCCCATATCCCTCATATGTAAGTCACCCTGTGCCTGTTAGGGGTACAGGGTGATCTGTCCTAATATTGTGTAGACATGTCTAGGAGATAGGTGGCATTTGTGGATTGTTTGGTGTCATGTGGTTGCATCCCATTGTTCTGTTGTGTGTCTTGCTTGGGAGCAAACTATTATGGGATGTATGAGTTTGTGTATTGGCTTGGTGTTTCTGGCAGCCCTCCCTCCTGATGGGACTGTCTGCTGGTGTGTCTCTCTGTGTTAAAAGGTAAATTGCCCCGCCCTGTGTCATTATGCAGGGGGGGGGGGGGGGGGGGTTGTTCCCTTGAATGTATATATCTTGTATCTGTGTTACAATAAAGGAGTCTATTTCCGAGTCTTACTTCAAGAGTGGTGTCTATGGTCGGTGGGAAGCGGGAGTCTAACGGAAGTACCCAAGTGCAGTTGGGGTACGGTTCAGTTACAATATGGATCCCGCACCATGACTATTTTAAACTAATGTCTAGAATATTATCCTGGGAGCTGCTAGCACACCAACGTCTCTTCCGGCATGTGGATTGCACATCGGAAGTTGGAAGAACCAGTTGCCATCTTGGATGTAGAGAAATGGTGGTAGAGTTTATGGTTTATGCTGGAGCAGTTTTTATTTAATGAATTTAAGTGCGCACTTGGGGGGATCTTTTTAATTTTTAAGGACTTGTGGACATGCGTACTGTCAAAACCCCAGACTTGTGAAGCGGCATGGGATCGGTGCAGGGAGATTTCCCACGCCACTCCTGTGTGAACTCAGGCTATGACAAGCTTGGGTTCACACACGAACGTAGGGAAAACCGCATGCGATCAGACAAGAATGGCCCCTCATTCCTGTTCAAATCACATGCCATTCTTTGAAGTCTGATTTGCGCCCACTCATTTTGTATCGGTACGCAATATCGGCAAGTACTAGACCGAAAGTATTGGTACTCGAAGATTAAAAAGGGCATTGGTGCATCCCTACTTTGTGGATACTGCAGAATATATTTAAAGGTTTGCGCCCAGAGTTTAGTATTAAACTAGTAAGATACTAAAACCGCAATGAAACTTATTATTGTGTTTAGCTTTAATCAGAATTTTAGAACCGTGTTCTGTGCACCCTCTACCTACACCAATAAGGTTTGTTCAGACAAGTCACGCTTCATTTTGTACAACCAGCTCTGCATTGCTCTTCAGAAGTATCCAAATAGGCTTTGTTGCAGAAATTACAGGTTATAGTCAGCCATACTTATAAGGCTTGTATCTTAATGACTCTGCTAATTCATAACAATAGGCCAGCCTCTCTCGACCAGGGGGCCCAGGCACTTTGGGGTGCCTTGGCAAAATTTTTAAAAAATTGCCCAAAACTTGCATACAAGCCAGCGGGTAGAACAAGCCTACCTTTTAGTTACACAAAGTCACAGGTTTTCATTGTGCACCATTACGACCTTCTAGCCGCCGGCATCCTGACAACCAATGACATCATCAGTTGGTAAGGAGGATGTCAGCTGCCTGCACAGCATTCTAGTTCAACCCTCCCCTGCTCCTCTTTCAGTGTTGGGGTCACATTAGCTCAGTGATAGAGAAAAACTGAGGGAGAAGAGAAACACTGGAATACTAGTCAGTACCAGCGTGCAAAAGTGCATTTGCTTTGGAAGAATAAATCACCTCTAACGTTGGGTGTCCTACATGTGTGGAGGTTGCTGTGTTATATAAAACTATCAGAATAGTTTTGCACATTTTAGAATGGGGTGCCCTTTTAAAATTATGGACAGTCTACAGGCACCCCCCCATTTTAAAATGAGGTGCCTCAAGACTGTCCATAATTATAAAGGGTACCTCGGGTCTGTTCATAATTTTAAAGGGTGCCTCGACTGAAAAGAGGTTGAGAAACACTGCAGTAGGCACATAAATTAGCGGTCAGGAAAGTGCACAGGAATGTGACCCAGTACACAGCGCCAGTGTTTGTTCCTGCACTCACTGCTGCTGAATCTGAACTGCAGCTCCATTCATCCAGAGAGATAAACAGAGATTGTTATTCATGCAGCCAAGGCCATCCCAGCTCTACAGTGCCATACTGCACCCTGCTCACAGGTCCCAATAGTAAAAGCCACACAGAAAGATTACCTTCTATATACACAGAGTCTGCAATGCAGATCTGGCTGTATATATAATAATGCCCAGGACAAATCAGGACCAGATCCCCATCGTAGCACGCATTCACTGCTTCCAGGAGATCTTTGTGGAACTACGAGACCAAAAAAAATAAAATAAATAAAAATATATCTTTTTTAAAAACGCACAATGTGATGAAATGAATAAATCCAGTCTGCCACCTCTCCCCACTGTACAAAACTGGAGCAGAGGATTACAACCCATGGCAATTCTGGATTTTTTATTTTTTGATCTACATAAGAACTTTATATAGCTGGGAGGTAAGAGGTTAACAAATCTGTATGTAGTACTTTGTAGAAAAACACAACAGAAAATCATAAATTAAAGCAGTAGCTGTTGATAAATTCTGAATGTTGAAGAACTAAACCCTAATCAAAGGCTTTGTTTGTTTAGATCTTCAAGGAACAGATCATGCTGGCAACTTTAACATTGGCTACTCCATTTAATAGAAGCCCCCTTCACCGCTATGCCCTATAGTGACATAGGAGGTGGCAGGCATACAGGCCATCAGATACTCCTGAAGTGTATGATGTTGATGCCACTGATGGAAGTATGGAGACACAAGCTGCTGGAGAGATTATAGTATATAGCGTCTGCTTATATTTATTCTGGAGATGGGCTTTAATTCTTCTATACACGACTCAATTAATGCTAGTTCACATGTGCTATGGTCTCTGAACAGCAATCCACGCTCGGATCGCTCTTTAGAGAGAATTTGACAGGCTGTGAGGAATTATTGCATTGCCCCCTCACTGCCTGCTTTAACCCCTTCTTCCTTACTGTTGTGGGGTACTTGCAGAGCTTTAAAAAGCAGTGTTATTACTGCCATGGCATGTGTATACCCCCAGCTGCTGCCTCTGCAGCTAAGAAGGAATCCGTAAAACCATGCTTTTTTTTTTTTTACCCCTACAGCAGAGCAAAGAGTACTGACATTACGCTGCCACATGGTCTGTATGTGGCGGCCATATTTCAATTCTTCCATACAGCTGCACTACTTACTTGTTGGCTCCAGGAAGTGACAGTCCTACGATACTATTACCAGAGGGACTGCTCCTGAGGACAAGAGGCTGTAGCTCATTCTGGGAGATCTTACAATGCTTAGATGCTGCCTAGAATTTATGCAGCCATACATTCTGGTGAGTGCAGTGTGTGAGGTGCTACAGAGGACTTGAGCCATCTGGCTATCACTTAAAGGAGACGCACTCGCCTTCTTTATTTGAAATCACTTTTTATTTTTTTTTTTCTTATAGACTTTTTCTTGGACTTCACTAGTTGGTGGTGAACATAGTTTCACATATTAACTGGTCATTTAAAAGTACAGACAAAGTTCTTTAGGCTGTACTTCTGTGTATCACAGGAGTGCAGTTTGTTTTGTGACCCATTTTCAGCCGACAGCGGGCTGACGTCACTCAGCCGGTCCAGGCTGGGGAATGATTCCGCCTTTAAGGTCGTGATCCACCCCAGAGTCTGGAGCGGCATCTGGCTCAGCGAGCCACTGAGAGCCTGAGCCAGCCGCTCCCTCCCCCATCGGACCGATACTGCATCCACCTAGACAAGTATAACTGGGCAAAAAAAAAAAACCCAAACCCCTACTTCTCCTTTAAAGGGAAACTGCCCATTTATTGGATCACTTAAGGCATTTAATCACGTATTTCTTCAGGTCGTATTTTAGTTATGTATTTTCTTTCCTTGTCTATTTGCACATCTAGTTTTAGAGCACTGTATTGTTATACATTTATACGCTAAAAAGGGTTGGATGCATTGACCTTTTAGTGCCAGCAACCACTACTTTTTTTCCACCAAGTGCTGGCTTTACATTTGTTAAAACCACGGCTCAACCATGGGGTTTTACTGCCCCCCAACCACTAGTGTGAATGAGCCCGTAGAGCCGAGACAAACCCAGGAATAATAAGTGCTTTACAAAAATTACAACGGATGTTGTTCGATTTTTTACATTTTTTGAAGAAAAAAAATAAAAAAATCAAATAGCAAAAAGATGCTAACCTGGATTTCCTGGTTTTGGCTACAGGACTCCGACTCCAACCGCTCTCTAGTTAGACACATCAAGGTCTCAATGGTCATACTTGTGGACACAACATGAATGACTTTTCCACCAGTGGTACGGGGACCCTTTTTTTTCAGGCTGTACCTTCCAGAGCTCTTCTGACAACAGAACAGATACCTGTAAACAGGAATGGAGTTAAAGAGAACTCCACCCACAAAGTCTATGCTGGAATAAATATGGGAAGGGAGGCAACCAGTCTGTAGGCAAACACAACAGGAAATCAGATTAACACCACCAAAGACAGCACGATACCTCAGCAGGGGATTCTCAATCAGTTTTAGCTTCCTTTTCAGGTTCTCCATTTCACCATCCATCTTCATCCCTTCCACCATGGACACGTTATCGAGCTCCGTGTCAGAGTCACTGTTGGATAACGCATTTCGGAGGCTGTTGAACTGACTGTAAACCTGCATGCAGCGTCTTAGAATGGCATGATACTCGGATACCAGCTCGGATGGAATACGCTCTTCTAGAACATCATAATGACTGTAGTAAACAATGTGAGCGTATTAAATACCATTCTGAAGAGCCCGAGCAACCAATGAGAATTTAGTTGCCAGTCTAACCAAACCCACATAAAAGGTAAAAGGTGAACTCTGGTTAAAATCAAAAGTTTCCCCCCCACACAGCAAGAGTTAAAGGCGAAGTTCAGGTGTGAACAGGCACCATAGAGAACAACTGATTTTTTTTAAAGTGTTACTAAACCCCGGACCCCGCACTCACTATATCCGCTCTCCCCGGACCCCGCACTCACTATATCCGCTCTCCCCGGACCCCGCACTCACTATATCCGCTCTCTCCCCGGACCCCGCACTCACTATATCCGCTCTCCCCGGACCCCGCACTCACTATATCCGCTCTCCCCGGACCCCGCACTCACTATATCCGCTCTCCCCGGACCCCGCACTCACTATATCCGCTCTCCCCGGACCCCGCACTCACTATATCCGCTCTCCCCGGACCCCGCACTCACTATATCCGCTCTCCCCGGACCCCGCACTCACTATATCCGCTCTCCCCGGACCCCGCACTCACTATATCCGCTCTCCCCGGACCCCGCACTCACTATATCCGCTCTCCCCGGACCCCGCACTCACTACATCCGCTCTCCCCGGACCCCGCATTCACTACATCCGCTCTCCCCGGACCCCGCATTCACTACATCCGCTCTCCCCGGACCCCGCATTCACTATATCCGCTCTCCCCGGACCCCGCATTCACTATATCCGCTCTCCCCGGACCCCGCATTCACTATATCCGCTCTCCCCGGACCCCGCATTCACTATATCCGCTCTCCCCGGACCCCGCATTCACTATATCCGCTCTCCCCGGACCCCGCATTCACTATATCCGCTCTCCCCGGACCCCGCATTCACTATATCCGGTCTCCCTGACCCCGCATTCACTATATCCGGTCTCCCCGGACCCCGCATTCACTATATCCGGTCTCCCTGGACCCTGCACTCACTATATCCGGTCTCCCTGGACCCTGCATTCACTATATCCGGTCTCCCCGGGCCCTGCACTCACTATATCCAGTCTCCCCGGACCCCGCACTCACTATATCCGCTCTCCCACAGTACACACTACACGGAAGTACAATTATTTTAGTAAATATAAAACTGCTAAATACCTTTTCCCATCAGCAGTATATAGCAGTCTTGTGACTTCAGCAGAGCACTGGTTAAAGCTTGTAGGAGTTTTCGTTCTGCTCTAGGATGCAAAAGACCTGACCCTCTGTCTGGACAGTGCCAATTGGCCCTGTGCTGATCACATGCACTCTCCCAAGAAAAAAAAAAAAAAAAAAACACCTCTCTAGCAATACACACTAAACTGAGCATGTGCCTACGGGTTCAGTCTATCTTATCAGGTGGACATTTGAACAAGAGGAGGGGCAGCGAAAACAGGATCAAAACAGCCTTTTTACACAATGCGGAGGATTAACCCCTTAGGTTCCACAGTGAGTAGAACAAGCATGCTTTACTGCATATACAGACTGATTGTACTGTTTTGGGTTTAGTAACACTTCAAATTTGAGCGTTTTTGTAGCTTTGAGCGTCAATCTACAAAACACTCAGGCCTCATTCACACCAGAGCAGAGCAATTTTCAGGAGTTTTCATATGAGCCTTTTTGCAAGTGTATACAGGCATTTTTAGAAGAGTATTACAAGCGGTTTACATGTGAAAGCTTCAGGCTTCTTGTTTTAGCCAGTGGAAATCACTAGGGAAAGATCAGTTAATATAGGCCAACAAAACATCGAAAAAAACAAAAAAAAAAAAAAACCACGCTCAAATCAGACATGTTCAGGTGTTCCCATTGAAGTCTACGGGGCTCAAAACGCTAATTTCTGCCTGAAAAGTAGCTCATGTAGTTTTTGGAGCAACAGGCGTTCAGCAACAGGACACTCTGTGGACAAAGGCTATTGAATACAATGGGTTTTTGCTTGTTGAGCGTTTTTGAGCTACAAGCTACTTAAAGCTTGAGATGTGAATGGGGCCTCAAGTGTGAATGCAGCCTTAATGGCAGTGCACAGTCATTAACCCCCATCCCTAGATCCCTAGATCTCCTTTTAATTGGCAGTGCACAGTCATCCCCCTCCTATCCCTAATCTCCTTTTAATGGCAGTGCACATCATCCCCCTCCTATCCCTAGATCTCCTTTTAATGGCAGTGCACATCATCCCCCTCCTATCCCTAGATTCCTTTAAATGGCAGTGTGCACAGTCATCCCCCTCCTATCCCTAGACCTCCTTTTAATGGCAGTGCACATAATCCCCCTCCTATCCCTAGATCTCCTTTAATGGCAGTGCGCACAGTAATCCCCCTCCTATCCCTAGATCTCCTTTTAATGGCAGTGCACAGTCATCCCCCTCCCCATCCCTAGATCTTATTTTAATGGCAGTGCACAGTCATCCCCTCCCCATCCTAGATCTCCTTTTAATGGCAGTGCACAGTCATCCCCTCCCCACCCCTAGATCTCCTTTTACTGGCAGTGCACAGTCATCCCCCTCCTATCCCTAGATCTCCTTTTAATGGCAGTGCACAGTCATTCCCTCCCCATCCCTAGATCTCCTTTTAATGGCAGTGCACAGTCATCCCCTCCCCACCCCTAGATCTCCTTTTAATGGCAGTGCACAGTCATCCCTCCCCATACCTTCCTTAGATCCCTATTTTAAATGGATCTACACGGCTCTTACAAGCGTAATCGTGGCTCAGCACATCTTGTAAAATAATCAAAATAATCTTCCTCTTCTTCATCCCAGAGGCGCCAGATGTGTTGGAAAAAGAACCTGAAAGAAAGAAAGTCCAGCATGTCATAGGGGCTTCTCAATGTACTATTACAGTGGACAAGATGGAAGAACATATGTTCCATTTCTTTCCAGGGCACAGTGCTAAATGTTTAGGCCTAAAAAGGCAGTAGAGGATAGGTCACACAACCTTCCAAGAGTGCTAAGAGTTCACATGACCCATTCATTCCACTTTGTTCTGAGACACAATCCAAACAAACATAGAATAGAGTGCTGGTGGAAGACATCAGATAGGAGAAAGTGAGATCCTAAACCTCACAAAATAAACACTACACTTACTGTGCAATGTAGTTCTACTGGGTCAGCTTTTACTTTTTTGGAGACGGGTAAGGCCCCTTTTACATGGCAATCCTTGAATTCCCACCTTAGGGGAATAACCTTTACAATAAGTTTGAGCTTGCTGCCTAGGGGGCAAAAGAAAAACATGCTGCGCAAATGGTCCAAAGCACTATACGCATCTCCAGGTTGGTCCACTCTTGCCTTTAGCCTCAAAACATCAGTTGCCAGTCCAGCTTGTACCGCAGGACATCAAAAGTAAAAAAAGGTGGATAACCACACACTGGTACCAATAAGATCCTTGAGGTTTTTTTTTTTTGCAAAAATCCAAATATCAGAACACAGAGATCAAGCCAGGTTGGCATGAAACGCGTCAACACTCACTCTCTCTGTGCGCTGTTTTATTTGGATTTTTTTATTTTTGCAAATAGACTTTATTGGTACCAGTGCGCAGTCATCCACCGTTAACATTTGATTTAAAGCAAAAAAGGCAAGACCCCCATTGGTTTACTAACCTGACGTGTTCAATGGACATGGCAGTCTGGTCATATTCTCCGGAATCATCATAGACCACATAAAGCTCCTGTAACGGGACCCTCTGCTCCTTCACTTCCAGCAAGTCGCGAATGCTCTGTTCGGTGACACACTCCATACGGTAATCGCACATGAATGGCACGCATGGTTGGACAACGGCCTTTAAACTGGAGTAAGACACTTCGGTCACCTATTATAAAAAATAATCCTGAGTTAAGGTGGAACTGCACTGCATCTGAACACCACAAACCAAAAATGCTAATTTTTAATATTCAAAGCAAACATTTTGAAAAACACCCCCTAGAATTTCTGGCAGTGGCCATCTTGAGCACAGGCAGAAAATTAATGTATCATTTACTTCCTGGAATCCATCTGCTTTCAGCTCAGGTATAGGTTGAGCTGGGATCCCTCCCTCCCCTCCTGAAGGCTCCTGGGATGTATGACATAATTTGCCTAGCCATGGAAACCAGGAAGGAACTGAAGAAATAATAATTAAAAAAAAAAAGTTTAAACACAAGTAAATGAGACATACTTGCCTATCCATTTACTAATGCTAGCAGCAGAAGGATTAAAAATAGTTGGTGTTGATTAACCTATTCACGCCGGCGCCTCCCGGCCCTTTAAGAGTTTCAGAAGCCGGGAGGCGGGGTTTAGGGTCATGTGACCGCCGTGATGCGCCGTCACATGATTGAGAAAGGTCCCGATCGAAAGAGGAGATCGGGACCTTTCCGTGAGTACCAGACATGTGTGCTGGGAGCATGCGGGGTGCGCGCTCTCGGCATATATGTCCTTTTTTAATAGAACGCAAATGTGCGGCTGCTCGGTGTCTAGGCCCAGATGCCGGGAGGCCACACATTTGCGTTCGGCCGGCGTGAAGAGGTTAAGAGAGGGGAAAATCTGCTTTAACTACAAATCCATTAGCTTAGCAGAAAAAATAAAAAAACAAGCAAAAAAAAACCCCAAAAACTAAATGCAGTCAAGGGGTGAATACAGAATCTATTGTATACCTCAACAAGAACTTCAAAGATGTCCGTGCGCCAAACAGCCTTCCAGCCGGACGGTTCCAGAGCCTTTTCTAAGTATTCGGATATAAATTCCATTACTTCGGAGGGTTTGGCATCTCCTGTGAAGGAATCCAAAAGAACACAGATTAAAGGCCAAGTTCACATTTTGCACCATGTTACGCCCCCTGATTAGCGTGTAACATCTAACATGGTGATAATGCCCCCACAGCATGCAGGGGTTCTTATTATTGCACCACTCATTTTTAAATTTTGCGTGGCTGTGTAGGACTCCACGCACACAGCCACATTCATTCACAGAAAGAAAGAATTAAAAAAGTACCGTCCGCCAGCATGGCAGATGGATTTGTAGTTCTCACTGGCCTACGAGTACGCCAATCAGCACACTCCTAGTACTCCTTGACACTTCCTCTAGGAGCCTGCAGAAGCCAGACATTGCACCCGCCACCCAATGATCTCGGGTGCAATACTTTGCAGGCTCCTGTAAAAATCAATAAATAAGCATTTTTTTTTTCAAATGCAAGAATATGTGCATTTATTTTTTTTTTAACCACTTGGCTACTGGGAACTTATACCTCCTTCCTGCCCAGGCCAATTTTCAGCTTACTGCACTGTCACAATTGACAATTGCGCGGTCATGCGACACTGTACCCATGTAACCACTACCCTCAAGAATAGGGATTTGCTTGCTTCACGTCCCAAAGCAAAGTAAGCAAGAACACACATTTATAAAGCACATCACTGCGATTTGGTGTCAACAACCCTCAGTGCTGGGTGAAGAATGCTGTCATGCATCTGCCTGAGCTGCTTTTGGGTTTCATGCGCCATTCTCAGTAATTAGGACATGGCACTGGAGTGTTGAGGAGTTTTTCTGCAGGAAATGAAGAAGTGGAAGCACAGGTACTTACCCAGGAGATAGTCCTTGTAGGCCTCAAACCGCTCATAGAAGAGGAGATTGCTGGTCTGGAATAAGTCGGGGAACTGAACGGTTCCTGATAAAACACGACACGGTGACACCCGGCCCAGTTTTTTGTGGCTGCCGTAGTCACTGTCCTCATCTTCCGGGAACAAGACTAGAGGTAAAGAACACAAGTGATTAAACACATCCTATTACATGCCAGTGAAGGGATGTAATGACATCATTCACATAACAAGAAAAAAAGAGGAAGGCGCCTCTAAGTGCAGTATTGACAATTTATTTAGTAAACAATGGATAAATTACACTTACAAGATAAACGGTTAAAAAGACTCATTGTGTGGTAATTAGATCCAGGTGGGACATCCAGCCGTCCAGCAGCAAACTATGTCTATAGGATCAGGAAGTAGAGTCCAGGATGTGCCTGTGCATCAAAAATGAAGCTTGGAAAGCAGTCAGATGTAGCAGGTGAAGGGGGCGGTAATGCATTTTGGAGCATGCTCAATAGGCTCCTTTTTCAGACCTCAATTGATTTTTGATGCACAGGCACATCCTGGACTCTACTTCCTGATCCTAAATAGACATTGTCAATACTGCACTTAGATGCACCTTCCTCTCTTTTTCTTGTTACTGCATTAGAGCCTTGCTTCCACTCTAAGAAGAGCTGCCTCAGTGTTACTGCTCCCATCCATCCATCCATCCCTGATATCCATCTGGCACCTTTATCTTACAGCTACAGAGGTTGGGCTCCAACAAGCGCGCCCTATATAATATACATTTTATGACATTCACATACACTATCCTACAGGCAGGTACAGCTGGCCTTTTTTGGGCTATCCTTGAATTTGTAGGGGAAGTTCAGTCCCACAAGTGGCGAGCATGCCAGATATTATTCGGCCTATAGAGGCCTTTTTTTTTTTTTTTTTTTTTTTTTTACAGATATGAGACCGGTCATTCAAGAAATACATGGTTTGTTGGTTAGCCTGCTTCTCAAAAAGAACTGTTGCCTGGTAGTCAAGTTGATCCTCTGGATTTAATGTCTGTAGTCCCTGAACTGGCACAACTGAAGTCAATTTTACCTGCTTACTTGTTCCAGGTCATGGACTCAAAATATAGAAGACTGAAGATCAGTACAATACCAGAGTAGGTAGCATTATCAGGAGGTCAGCAAAGAAGATCTATATATATTCTTCCTATAACAGATTTCCCATTATTGAACCCATTATTACATTAGTCTGCACACACCTCATACTGCAGCCAATGGAATGCAGCCTGTGAGCCAAATGTGCCTCTTCACCCAATTGGGGAGATTTACGAACCCTAGGTTCACACCCAAGCGTGTTTTGCAGAAACGCACTACAGTCCATTTAACATGATTTCCTATGGGACACGTTCACATCTCCGCGTTTTCACCCGGTGCGTTTTTTTGGAAAGGGTCAGGGACTTTTTTGAACGCAAAAAGTTGTGTTTTTGGTTCTATAGACTTCAATGGAAATGATGCAGAAAAGCATGCAGTGAGTTTTTGCTGCATTTTGCGTTTTAAATCTGCAAAAGCAACAAGAAAAAAATTAAATAAATGCAAAACGCATCAAAAACACAAGTGCAAAAACGCACTACAGAAGCAGATCAACGCAAACTGCATAGGTGTGAACCTAGGCTTATGCCGGCCATAGACTGTTCGAAAATTGGCCGATTTTTCGGCTGAAAAAAAATATCGGCCAATTTTTGCACTGTTAGCGGGTTGACTGGTCGGCCCGTTTTTTGGTTCTTTGCACAGTTTTTTTTTTTTTTTTTTTTTTTTTTTTTTAAATCGGTCATGTTGGAAAATTTGCGGCCGATTTTGACGATCAGCCGATTTTCCCGGCAATGATGGGCAAATCGGCCGATCGTTTTACCGATAAAAGATCCGCACATGAGCTGTGACCTTCAAGGGACAGACGTTATGGGGTGAACTTTACGATTTAGTCGGCCGATTTTTTTTAGCCTTGGTGCTATGTCAGCCGAACGACCGATTTTTTTTTTTTTGAAAAATCAGCCAATGTTCAACCCGTCTATGGCCTGCATTCAACTGGAGAACTCAGAATCCGGTGCAGCAGTGCATGGCAGCCAATCAGCTTCTAACTTCAGATTGTTCAATGAAGCTTTGACAATAAAACCTGGAAGCTGATTGGTTTCTATGAAGAGCTGCACCAGATTTTGCACCCTCCAGTTTTAGTAAATAGCCCCCATTGTGTGCTATCAATATTAAAATAAGCCTCAAAAATGACGGTACTTAAAAATTTGTGACATTATTCAAATGGAGGACTTAACCTCAACATTATAGAAAAGAGGAAAAAAAATTCAGGTTGATGTGGGTGCCTTGGCTATACCTTAGAACTACAGATCCTTACCTTCAAGAAAAGACAACAGCCTCCCTCCTCTATCTGAGGGACAAAGTGTGACAACGGAGCTGTAAATGAAAAGATCCCACTACAGAGCCCAGCATTCCCGGAAACATGGTCTCCTCTACCCCGGCCCCCCCCCCCCCCCCCCCCCAGGGAAACCTAGACCAGTGCACAAAGCAGGCAAGTATGACGTTTGTGATTTAAAAATAAGATCGACAATCACCTTAAATCGATGGGTTTAGTTGAACTTTAAGTCAGAAATAAAATAAACTTTTAAAGTTTTCTCTCCCCTTTGCGAACAGCCAGCTCAGACATGTACAGCACACATTCTGCTCAAGAAGAGAGAAAATCTGAATATCTCAGCGCTGGCCCCGAGCTCCAGTCCCATCAGGACATTCTGTAGCTGGAGATCCCCGAAGGGACAGAAAACAGCCGTTACATGTCAGAAGAACATAAATCAGTAATTACACGCATACCTCGCCAGGTGTGTCCATTCCTACCGCACAGAGGATCTCCGCGCCCCATAGTGACAACATTATGTGGGCTCCATCATGCCACCACTTATTTTTTTATATAGAAAGCCAAGAGCCTCTGTCTCTGAGGGCACCGCCAAGAACCCCCCACCCTCTGAGGGCACCTCCGCCTTCTGAGAACCTCTGTCCCTGAAAACCTCCAAGAAACTTTGCCTCCAATAGCACTGCCTCCAAGAACCACTAGTCCCAAAATCCCCACCTCCAAGGGCACCACTGAGAACCCCCTCCTCCAAGGAAACCTCCTAGAACCTCCACCTTCTGAGGAACACTGCCCCCAAGAAACTTTGCCTCCAATGGCACTGCCTGCAAAAACCACTAGTCCCAAAACCCCCGCCTCTGAGGGCATCACTGAGAACCCCCTCCTCCAAGGGAAACTCTGTGAACCTCTGCCTTATGAGGAACACTGCCCCCAAAAACCCCTGCCCTGAAGAAACTTTGCCTCCAGTGGCACTGCCTCCAAGAACCATTAGTCCCAAAACCCCCGCCTCTGAGGGAACCTGTGAGAACCTCTGCCCCCCCAAAAACCCCTGCCCTGAAGGAACTTTGCCTCCAATGGCACTGCCTCCAAAAACCACTAGTCCCAAAACTCCCGCCTCCAAGGGCACCACTGAGAACCCCCTCCTCCAAGGGAAACTGAGGACCTCTGCCCCCAAAAACCCCTGCCCTGAAGAAACTTTGCCTCCAATGGCACTGCCTCCAAGAACCATTAGTCCCAAAACCCCCGCCTCCGAGGGAACCTGTGAGAACCTCTGCCTTCTGAGGATCTCTGCCCCCGAAAACCCTTCCCTCAAGAAACTTTGCCTTCAAGGGCACTGCCTCCAAGAACCACTACCCTCAAGAACCTCTGCCTCCGAGGTCACTGCCCTGAGGACCTCCGCTTCCCGAGAACCCACTGCTTCGGAAAAGCTAAGCCTCCGAGGTCACTGTCGAGAATACCCCCCCCCCCGAAAAAAAAAAAATTCTGCCCTCTGAGAACCTCTGCTCTCCAAAGGCCTCTACCCCCAAAAACCCCCACCCCCAAGAATCTTCCCCTTGAGGACGCCTCCAAGAACCTCCGCCCACTGCCCCTGAAAACCCCCACCTTGGAGGCACTGCCTCCGAGAACCCCCACCTAAGGGCCTCTGCCCCCCAAAAACCACTGTCTCCGAGGTCACTGCCCTGAGGACCTCCACTTCCCGAGAACCCACTGCTTCGGAAAAGCTAAGCCTCCGAGGTCACTGTCGAGAATACCCCCCCGAAAAAAAAAATTCTGCCCTCTGAGAACCTCTGCTCTCCAAAGGCCTCTACCCCCAAAAACCCCCACCCCCAAGAATCTTCCCCTTGAGGACGCCTCCAAGAACCTCCGCCCACTGCCCCTGAAAACCCCCACCTTGGAGGCACTGCCTCCGAGAACCCCCACCTAAGGGCCTCTGCCCCCCAAAAACCACTGTCTCCGAGGTCACTGCCCTGAGGACCTCCACTTCCCGAGAACCCACTGCTTCGGAAAAGCTAAGCCTCCGAGGTCACTGTCGAGAATACCCCCCCGAAAAAAAAAAAAATTCTGCCCTCTGAGAACCTCTGCTCTCCAAAGGCCTCTACCCCCAAAAACCCCCACCCCCAAGAATCTTCCCCTTGAGGACGCCTCCAAGAACCTCCGCCCACTGCCCCTGAAAACCCCCACCTTGGAGGCACTGCCTCCGAGAACCCCCACCTAAGGGCCTCTGCCCCCCAAAAACCACTGCCTCAAAGACCATCTGCCTCCAAAAACCTCTGCCGGGCATTTGTTTAATAAAACAATGGATCTGGTATAGAATCACTACACCACAACGTAATCATCCAGATACAAATGTATTCTAATAAGATGACATGAAGAGGCGACACGTTTCAGGGGTCCAACATCACCTCTTCCTGAGGGCCAGGGATGGAGACAGTGATTCAGTAATGCATGTGTGACACTTTTCTGCTGGTCCAGACACATTAGAAGTGGCTGTGTTTAATGAATGAAAGTCTTGTGACAGTTTACACTCAGCAGCCACTTTATTAGGTCCACCTTGTTTGCGCCAAAAAAAATCTCCCCCACACCATGACACCACTACTGCCAGCCTGAACCATTGATACAAGGCAGGATGCATCCACCACACCATGACACCACCACCATCAGCCTGAACCATTGATACAAGGCAGGATGGATCCACCACACCGTGACACCACCAGCCGGAACCATTGATACAAGGCAGGATGGATCCACCA